TATTTACTTCTGAAAAATTTCCTTAAAATTTTGACATTCTAGGATTCTTTTCCAGTCCCAAGGTCCCAGATGGCAGAACATGAATGCCTCAGGCATTAAAACATGGGATCAGACGTTAATTTCCTGTCATAAAATTCTTGTAACATGCATCTTAGGGCCACTAGTGAGATGGGCTACCTTTTGGGCAGCTTGAGAGAATTGCTTGAGAGGAACAGAAGCTGCCATTAAGTCTTTACATTTAAAAAAAAAAAAAAAAATCTTAGACTGATATACTTTAAACAGGCTTTTGTGGAGGTTAACAGCACAAGGTGACCATAAGTTGCCAAAAAATCTTTTTGGTTAAGAGCAGAGACTCTGAAGAACAGACTGACTTGCCTTGAGATAGTTTGTCAGAGCCAGTATGTGGAGGTGGGGGTAGAGTAAGGGTCTTCTGTTCTAGGTAGAATTCTTAGATTCTCCATTGTGTATGTAAACTAAGCTAAGAATAGGCCAAAGCTTTCTCCTTCCAGAAGTGGCCAGGATATTATTCTACAGTGGATGAGAGCTTGAGGAAGGGATCATTGTGGTCAGGGAGCAAAAAAGGCTTAGGTTCTAAGGCAAAAGGTCCTAAGACACATCTAACAAGTCAGGAAAAAACTCTGGAAATAGCAAAAAGCCTACAGTAAGGAAACCCGATGTTACTTCTTTCTTTTAAAAGTTACATGTTAAGGGAGTGCCTGGCTGGCTTAGTCCAGTCTGTACAGCATGTGACTCTTGATCTAGGATCAGGAGTTCAACCCCCACACGTGGAGCCTAATTAAAATAAAAAAAAAAATTTAAGTTACATCTTGATTTCTATAGCCATGTTGAGCATGCATTTCCTTAAACTATAAGCTTGCTGTGTGACTAAGTTCTCTGGGCCTTGTTTTGGCAACTGTCTCCATGATCCCAATGCCCTGGGAAAGGGTTAAAAAAGCACAGGAAGGAGTAGCAGAGAATGTAGGCTTCCTCATGCATGGAGCCTGACTCAACTCTTAATCCTTGTATTTCCAGTAGATGCTAAAATGAAGATTTTAAATATTGCAATATTTGCCATAATTCATCAAACCCTTAATGTCAGACACTGTGCTAAATGCTTACATGTGTTTTCAGTTGAGGTTGTTTAGTGCTCATTTAACAAGTGGAGAAAATGGTTCAGGTTAAGCAACTTACTGAAGGCCGCACAACTAGCTACTAAGTACAGTTTACGATTTGAACCCTGATGGTCTGACTCCAGAGCCTCTCTCCAGCACTCAAAGCTCCAGTCTTCCATGGCCAAAAGGCTAGTGCTTGTTAGCATAAGTTCAGACATCAGGTAGTGACAGATTCTGTTTTTGCTCATTTCCACCTGATTTGCCTTGGATAGCTCCTCAGCCCTCCAACCCAATTCTTTGAATATTCACTACAAGGTGGCAGGGAACTAAAATGTTGACTCCTAAATTCTAAACTGTACCAAGTGTTTTACAATATGCATTATTTTGTCACTCAACTTGTTGAGCGAGTTTTTAGGTCTATGAGCCTGGTTCTTTCTGAAAAGTGGATGTAACAATTGTACCTGCATCAGTACCTAACGTTAGGTACAGCAGCTCTTTTGAGGATTAAATGAGAATGCATATAGTGCTTAAAATAATGCTTGGTACATGGTGAATGATCTGTATGATATATGAGGAAATGATGTATTTTATCAATCATTGTCTAAAGTCCTCACAAAAGCCCTGTGAGAGCCTAATTTAAGTATTTAATGGTTTTATAGTTGAAGACAATAGCCTCAGTTTGAGGTTATTCACCTTTGGTTGAGATGTGCCTCACATCTGTTAAATGGCAGAGCTGAATTGATTCTAGGCCTCTGGGACTGGTCAGTATTCTTTCTGTTGAATCATTTTCAGTAGGCAGCTTTCCATAAACTGTCTCCCTGCTTGTCCTCTGCCCCATACATATATCCAAAATAACTTACCACCTCTTACCAATGAGTCTGTAACCATTCTTTCAACCCTGTGGATTAGAAACCTATCTTCACTCATTTGTTGCAGCACTCATGGATCATTCTCTGGCCTAGGACTGATGGGAATAAAAGATGAAGAGGAAAGCACCACCCCAAAAATATGTTCGTGAGTCTGACCATTATTTTCCATGTGCCATTTATCATCCTTTGTGGACAGTGGCAGAGAATGTGGTCAGGCTGCAGCCTCTCTGTCCAGCAGACAACCTTTTGTGGAAATGGTATACTACCTAAGAAGTTTAGTCCTAACGTTTATATGGCATGTACAAATTTTCAATAAATGCCTACAATTCAAGCATTCCTGATCTTAAGATGGGGTGAGGGAAGGAAACCAGTTTGTACTTTTCTTTGTGTCAGTGGAAATTGTAGTACATGCTCATCCTAGGTAGCACTCCTATTAAATGGTAATATGTAGGTAAGGAAACCAGGAAAAGGGACTTCAGTATGGAGAAAATTCAGCCCTTAATGCAGGTTGTCAAAGTTATACTATCTATGAAGCAAATTTCTCTAAGGCACACTTTTCTCATTGACAGCTGTTAAAAAACTGAAGGGAAAAGAGACTGAACTGAAAATCTGGCAGACCCTCCCCCCCCAACACAAGAGAGGAAGACTAATTAAGCTTTTTACCAACACTGGAAGCACCCTTCCAATTCCATTTTTAGGAATGCTTCCTTCCCTTCAGTGAGACTGCAGTGTCACCCTTCACCAATAGGTGGCCCCATCACACCAGGTCTTCCCCTTAGAACTGGAAGCTTCAATTTTAGTAAAAGCTGCTCTTCTTTTTTATCACCTCCTAAAATATTAACATTCTGTGTTGGAAAGGACATGGGTACAGGCACACACAACTCCAAAACAGAGATACTTAGCTGCCCTCTAGAAAAGATGAACTAATCCAGTATACAGTATGTATCACACCAAAACCCTTATAAATTGTTTCATAGATGGGGACCCAGCAATTCCACTTCTGTAGGAATATCCTATCATAATAGGATAGTTTCACATAAACACGTACGGAGCAGATATCACAGAGTGAGCACAGTGGAATTCTTGGTAGCTATTAAGTGGAAGTGGACCTCTGGATACAGACTGACTCTGAATCCTAGCTTTCCTACATATTGTATGAACTTGAATAACATTTCTGTGTTTGGGACAGTAATGGTACATACCTACCTTATGGGATTTTTGTGAGGATGTGATTATGTATTCCCAATATATGTTGTAAGAAATATAGAGGGTTACTGAACAGTGTGTGTAGTTTGTAGAAAAAGGTACACAAGACATGCCTAAGTTTGGAACAAAACCTAGAAGACTGTATGCCAAATGTGAACAGTGTTTTTCTCTTACTAGTGAGATTGGAAGATTAGGTTTTACCAATTGCTTTTCTGTGTTTGGTTTTAAATCACCATATATTACTCTCACAACAACAATACTTAAATTACCTCTCAAGGTTGGGCATATAAGGCAGTGTTTAATCCTTTAACTTCTGTTAAGAGCTGGCCCTCTGTAAAACTTAAGAGCTTTGATTTAGGATGGAGACACAACACTTAAAGCTCCCTTGTAAAGAGGAAAACTCTCCAGGTGTACTGTGAGGCCCTGAGACCATCTTGAAGTTGACAATGCTTCTGGATTCTTTCTCCACCTCCAGCTGAGCTCCAAAGCTATAGAAGCTTAACTGCTGTTTACTTTTTGAGACTCCAGTCCTGAGACAAATTAAGCGTCTGCCTTTGGATATGGACAGACCTCTGCTTCTGGGCAAGCCACTTAATCTCATCTGAGTAGAGTTCCACAGTTTATAAAATGAGGCCATATCTTTTTAAGGATTATTGTGAAAATTCAAAGATCCAGCTTGTGGAAAATGACAGAATAGTGGGCTATATATAACTTTCCCTCTCTGAGCCTCAGTTACCTCACCTTTAAAATGGGGACATTAGTACCTAACATAATAAGGTTGTTATGAGGATTAAATTAGGGAAAACCCACATTAAGTCTTCAATAAATGACATGTTACTGAGAAACATTTTCCAAGTGTGGGATCACAGAACAGATGAGGCTCCATGTGCCAAGAGCACTGCCTTTGCTCCTAGGAATAGCCAAGATCATTTCCTTCTCCTGGATGGGAGGTTTCCCAGTGGGCCCCCAACTCCAGAACTCGGCAGAGTTGGGCCTAGACCATAAGGTCTCTGAGGCCTCAAGTCTGCACACTCTGTTCTTTCAGCTGATGCTCCCACCTTTTGGAAGCCAAAGCTGCCAACTTGGCCTCTTGCAAAACACACATTCCATTCATAAGTGCATTTGTGCATTTTTCCTCCCACACCCTACTAGGCAGCCAATGCAGAGCTGCCAAGGCAGCTGCTGGAGAAGCAGCTTCTCGTTTGTGGGGGAAAAAAGCAACTCCCAAGAGTTTTTACAGAACTCTTGGTTTAGGCTTTGAACATATTACTCCCAAATTTCTAACCTCCTCACCCATAGAGTTATTCAGGACACTTAGCCATGTGCAATTTCCTTTTGTCCCCCTTTTTGTAAAAAACCTCTTCCCTATTATAAAGAGGACCAATTAATGGCAACTTGGAAAATCCAGAAAAGTTAGTCACATCTGTTCCCACCACTTAGAGTCAACAACTGCCACTATTTTAGTCTATCATATTTTTTCCATTATTTAAAAGCAGAGATTTTAACAGCTGCATAATATTCCAACATGTTGATATGTGCCATAATTTCTAAAACTGCCCCCTATTGTTGACACTGAAGTTGTTCCCAACTGATGCTACCAATTATATCCTTGCAAACATCTTTGACAGATAATATTTCTTGAGGAAACGTTCCTAGAAGTGAAATTATTGGGTTAAAGAGTATGGACACTTAAGGTTTTTTTTTTTTTTAATTCCATATAAGCTTTTACCTTGTGTTTACTAACATGGATTTGTTTCAAATCTTGCCAGTTTGATAGGTTAAAATAAAAATTTAAAAAAAAAAAACTTTTCAGTACAGCTTTAATTTCTATTTATTTGAATATCCTGTAGATTCACATCTATTTTTTTCAGAAGCTTTTTGGCCAGTTGTTTTTCTTTAAGGTCTCCCTATGGATTAAGTACAGTGTCCCATTGGTTTATTATTGTAAAAATGTTTCTACTTTTTAAAGATAGTTTTAGAAGTCTTTTATGATTTGTTCTATTTGCTCTTGTATTTAGAAAGTCTTGATTCAGAGATTAATAGCCACTGACAAGTGTGTGTGTATATGTATTTTTTTGAATAATTTAATTTTTACACTTTTACTTTTATTCTTCCTGTAATTTATTTTGGCATGTGACAACTTTTCCCCAAATATTTAGATTTTACCCATTTATCTATCTCTACTTACCCAATCACGGAGGATGTGTCCTTTACTATGTAAGGCCATGTATGCAAGAGCCTGTGTCACTGTTTTCTTCTGTCTTTTCTTACAAAAGGTGCCTTACCATTTTGTAGCTCTATATTTTAACATACTAGCAATTTCAGCAGCACCACCCCAGATAAACACAGGGCCATGGAGAGTCCCCATCAGCATGGATTATACAACACTACAGTCAGATGCTTTGTTGTTGACTGCACTGCTGCCATATTTCACTAGGACTTTTTCAGCACCCCTAAGGCAAGAGAATCAAGGTTGGAACATTACATAGGAAGAATATTAAGCCCAGATAAGAGCCTTATGGCTTTCAAAAGACAGGGCCTCCTGAAAAGTCATAGCAAAGGAAAGGAAATGGGAGAAGTTGGGCTGGCTCCCTTACCTTTCCTTTCCAGGCAGACTAACCCTTTTGAGCCTAGATCAAAACCCAGAGCTAAGAGAGGACTTCTAGAGGCAACCCAGCCATGTGCTTTTGGCAACTGGATTTGAGAAGAGAGAAGAGGCCAGTGCGAGGGTGACTCTTCTGTACGTCTCTGGACCCTTAGCACTACCTTCTGTTGTATCTCTCTTGCTACGAACTGTCCATTCTATATGCAGAGTTAAGCTCATCTCTGGTGTGAAGAAGTTGCTTGCCCCTCATCAAAAAATAAATTGGATTTTAGCCCTATATTATCTATACAGCTGTATAGCACCATAACAACACTTTGAATAGCTCCAGGCTCTATATAAGCACCCAAATCAGTATCTTTCACTGTGTAATTCTCCAAACCTCTGTTTGTTAAGGCCCTGGCTGGGCTCAATACCTCAGAAAGGCCAAAGCACAGCAGACACAAGCCCAAGAGCCAATTGGGGAATAAGTACATGTTTTGGAGATGCACTTTAAGTGAGGGGAAAAAAGTCACCACTCCTCCCCTAGGTTTCCTTCCAGCCTCCATCTGATGCTAACCTTGGTAATAAGGGTAAGAGAAGAAAAAAAATTCCAGTTCATTGAGGAAACCCTATAACCCTGTCCCTAGCTAGAGGATGTAGCCATGACTCCCAAATCCTTTCCAACTGAAAGGAAAAACAAAAGCACATCTAGTCCCACCACTGTACTTACTTATTTTTAGGAGATACCAACATGAGGCTGGAAATCTTTAGGAAGGTCATTAGGGCCTCCATCAAAGAAGTGAGTAAGATGGCTGGCCAATAGCTTTCCTGAATACAAACAATAACAAGACAGAAAATACAATGAAAGGAAGCTAAGGGTCGTAACTGGTCTACCATAATCAGACTTCTAGGATGTATGAGCCAAAGAGAGCCATCAGGGATCATGTTAGTCTAAGCACTCCCATTCCCCCACCCCCCAATTTGGCACAGAGGGACGTTAAGCCCCCAGGAGGGGTAGTGACTTGTGAAAGGTCATGTGTGATCATGCCAACCCCCCCATCTCCTCTTTGGATTCCTTGCCATTACTCACCTGACATCCTTTTGGAAACCTTAAACTTACGTGATTTAGGTGCTTTTTATAAAGACTCTTTTAAATCCTAACACTCTGATGGAAATAGTCTCTTGAGTTTACAGATGAGTATAAGGAAACTCAGAATTTCACTAACTTGCCAAAGGTCACACAGCAGTGGCACTTGACAGTTTCAGCTGGTCTCCTTTGCCTTAATCACTGCCAACCTGATGTAGGAGCCATCCATTAGCACAGTGCTCACATTCACTTTTTGTTCCTCATGGGAATCCAAATCAGTTGTTCTGGTAAGACTATTTAAGTAGTGGCCCTCTGAGGACTCATTTGCCTTTTGCCTACAAGTATTATGACCCAAAGGCCTTTAAGTTTGTGAGTGGGAAGTCAACATCCATGTTTGAAGTCTGAGGATCCTGTACCATCTGGATTATTTTCCAAAGCATAGAAACTGCTATCCAATATCACGTTGGAAGAGGCTCCTGGTGGGTAAATCTTGCCCCAGAATTAAGTCACTGGTTTTGTTTTGTTTTTTTTTCTCTCTCACAATTGTCAACAGTCAAGTAAACAAATTTATTAAATCCAACAGCAGGTAACCTTTCAAATAAAAAAACAAAAACATCAAAAGAAAAATGTAGACAAAGACCAAAACGTGTGTAACAAGTTAAAAATATTCAAGGGGCCATTTGGAGAGTGCAACAGTGCAGAGAATACAAACAAAAGTATTGACCTTTGTCAACAAGTTTGTACAACCTCAAGAAACAGACAGACTGGTCACAAACCAAGAGGAATCCACAAAGGTGGAGGGTCACATGAGTAGTGGACTCATCACCTCAGTGGGTTAAGGCAGGGTATCTGTAGGACCAATTCATCCAAGCCCCATTTGCCTATTGCTTCAAATTCCCCCTTTGAAACCTAGAATTATATTCATTAGTGCAACAGGTAAGAGGAGTTTATTACAGATTCGGGGCTGGGGACCAGAGTCAGAGGGAAGACACTTCCCCCAGAATAAATGGCAGGGGCGGTGGGTGGGGGGGGGGGGAGGTGTGCTTCTGTTGAATGGCTTCCTTTGGCATTATCCAAGATTATATTGAAAGAAGGGAAGGTGCATGGTGGAAAAAGGTATCTATGAAAGCAGGCTTAGTTTCCAAGAGGAATAGGGAGGATGTGATGCCGCCGTACCTGACGGTTACTCAAAGCTATATAAATCATCTTGGTGTCTCAACCAGTGCTCAAGTCTGTCTTTCAGTAAGAAAAAAACACCTGCAGATCCTCACTAAAACACGGCCCCCAGTCCAGATTAAACTGGATATATGCTATAATTACAGTTTATAGGAATAAATTCTGAAAGGGGTGAGTGGGAACCACCCTATAAGATTCAAAAAACAGATTATGGAGTAAGTTGAGGATCAATGTGAATGTCCTCAAGTGAGTCTCAACATACTGTACTTTTAATAGTCCTTTCTAAACAAGATACTGCTAGAGTCCACCACTGAAGACCTTTGTCAGTTGCCAAGATGTTCAAGTCATCACTAATCAAACATTAGAGACACAAGAAAAAGGCGAAAGCAGGCAGCTAAAACAAAACAAACCTAGCAGCATCTTCTCTCCAGCCCTTATAATTGCATAATTGGGTCTACTACTGGGCTTCACTACACTCAAGACTTCACTTTAAATGTGGCAAACCAAAGTCCTAAATACGGATATTTTGGTTCTTCAACTTTTAGACCCAAGTCCTTATCCCAGTAATTTCCCACTATTGTTTAATGCAATTTGGCATAGTGTATAGTATTTGAGGCCATCACACGAACTATGGAGTCCCACATCCTACAGGCTCCAGCAATGAGGGCTGAATTTGGCATCAACCTCTGGGAAATCAAGACTGTTTCAAAGACTGATTAAATACTTTGTGGCTTAATCCCTTCTTCCTAAGTAGGCTAGTTTGTGCCTTCCTTAGGAAAGTTTTGATGTCAAAAACACTGCCCTGTACATTTTCAGTTGGATTTCTTTGGGCCTGTGGGCTTGGTTGAAATTGGGATCTTTACCCAGCTCTAATACTTCTTATCGGAAGGGTAGACATGGTTGTCTGGGACCTATCTCACATCTCACAGATGTGAGCACATCTGGCACAGATAAGGAAATACTGTTGAGGCAACCAGCTGAAGCACAGCAAAGTCATTACAATAGGTGGGGTAATGATACATTCAAATATGGCAGGGATGGGGGAAGAGCATTTCAATGAAGCAACACTTCATCTCATACAGCTTTCTAATCACTAACCACAAACTCAGCCATTTGCTGAAAACCAAGAATTTCCCAATACGTATTCAATGTATTGTAGTTACCCTCAAATATTTGCCTATTTTCAAAATTGCATCCATATCCTGCCCCTCTTCACACCACCCTGGTGTTACATTGTTAAAGTGAAGAGTGCACTGGTTTACCTGAGGGGCACGCATTTGGCCTCTTCCACACAATTACTGCTCACCCATTAAACAGAAAACCTGTTTCTAGGTTAAAAGGACCAGAGACCTTTCACTTCCCAGAAATGACTACAAATCCTACATACACACCCATCTTCGATCCCTTTGCAAAATTGCTTTTCCTGTAGTCAAACATTGGCGCAGAGCTACTGTGGAAGCTTGAATTCCTTGCATCATGAAGTCAAACCTGGAAGGACCCTTTAAGTCCTTCCCTAACGGCTCCCTTTTCTGGTTTCTCATTTGCATTTCTGTAACAAATACATCATTAAAAATATAACCAAAAATAATTTCTTTACTGGCCCTTTTCTGGGGGGTGGGGAGGCTGAATAGTTAATTTACAAAATCCACCCAGTCTAGTACACCTCATGCATGGAATGCTACCTTGTAGGCTGGGAAAGGAATCCAGTTTCTCCACAGTCCTCAGGATCCTCAGTGCCTCCCTCTTTTGTGCACTTCTCTCCATATACCCTTGTCATCTAAGAAGAGAGCCTTACCGGACTAGGAGAAGCAGCCTGCCTTTCTCCCTTTTCAACCTTGACCCAGTCCAGAATCAGGAAAAACTAGAGGTCGCAGACTGGCTGGATAAAAAGGCATTCCCCCTTTAAGACCTCAGTCTGGGCACCCTGACTACAGTGGAGCCCACAAAACCCAATGGGCCCCTAAAAACTCTCTTTATTCAAGGAACTTGTGTCTTAGGCTAGAACAAAAGCCAGACATCTGGCCTGAGACCCTCTTCAGCTTTCCAGCAGTACTGCTAACTTGCTGTGGCTGATTTGAAAGTTTCTCTTCTAGCCCTCTAGAAGAAGCAACTGTAAGGTTTAGGGGCTTTAAAAAAAAAAAAAAAAATCAACCCCCCAAGTACATTTCCTAGGTCATTGTCAATCTTAGAAAACATCGACCGCAGAAACTCTTTAAATAATCCTCTTTGGAAAGATGGGAGCCTGGAGCCATAGGCTACTAATAAAGGAACTCAAAATAAGCAAATTCTGCCCAGGCTGAGAAACATACCTGGGAGGCAGATGGGAGTAGTTAGGGAAGAAAACTCCAAATGTTTAATAGACAAACTCTCATTACCTCAAGAGTATAAATATTTTTAAAGTTTTTATTCAAAAGATTCCCTTTTCAATCTATTCCAAAGTGTTGGAAGCTGAACTATACAAGTTCCTGCCACCCACCCTTCCAGTACAGTTTTTTGAGGCCGTTTTTTTAAATGGAAAAATAACAAGAGGACCCTCTACTGAAACTGGGTAGGACCAGAGTCAGCTCCCGTGTGGCAGTATGGCCAAAGCAGACCTTATGGAGCGAGCACGTAAAGGAGTCTGGGGAACTGGCCCTCCCTCGTATGAGGAAAGGGCTGAGAAAATTCATCTTCTCTTTAGTGAAAATGGTCCAAATTCAGATTCAAAAGCCTCCATTTATGACATTCCCTGGCACTCTTCTTATGCTTTATATATTGAAGGCAGCTCCCTCTTTTATGGCCAGTTTTAGCAGGCAAAGAAATAAAGGAATATAGATACATATATGTGTATATATATATATTTTATATAGGTAAAATATATACATATCTTATATATGTATATATACATATTTGGGGGTAGGGAAAAAGAGAGGAGGGTCATGTAAACCTAAACAGTTATCACATTACCCCAAATGAGCTTGACATTAACAAAGAAGGTAATAAATAACTCCTGGGGATTAAGTGACAACATGGGTGCAGCAAGAAGGGAAAGGGCACAAGTTTAACTATTAAATACACTTCTATATTTGTTTGGCAGAGTTCAGGCCAGTCCCAGGCTTCTGCACTTGCCAGACAAGTAAGCTGATGATAATCAAAAAAAAAATTAAAAAAAAAAAAAAAATTCAAGCAGAGCTCCATACCACAGTTTTCCTTCAAGTCAGTTGGCCGGCAGGCACAGTTTTCCGACCACCAGGAACAGAAACTTTGGCTCCAAGGCAAATGAAAAAAAAAAAAAAAAAAAAAAAAAAAATGTTTTTTTAACCAAAAACATAAAAAAAAAAAAAATTAACAAAAAAAAAAAAAAGAAAACTATCAAAGTCTACTTCCAGCAAAACTGAGGTAGCACTGCTTTCTCTGCATTCAATGCTTAAGTGGTTCTCAGTACAATGTGGTATAAAAAAAACTGCTCACTTGACTGACAGGTGCAGCATGTTGATGGATAAATGCAACATGAAATGAAATAGGTCAAAGAAGGAATGAGCAAGAAGTAAAGAAAAGGGGTTCGGATAAATTAGCTTAAAAGGGGGTTGTCACCAGACTACAAATGCTCTTGGCTGGCCTTGGCTCTCCAAGAGCTTTAAATCGCCTGGGAATTAATGCAATATGGTTAACAGTTAACACTGCTATTCAATTCTGTGTAAATCTTTTAAAATAATTATTATAACCTAAATCCAACCATGTAAACAGCACTACACACAGTACAGACCTGCCCTGAAAAACAGAATATGCAAAACTGAGATCTGGCACTGTATCATCTTGTAATGTTAATTCAACCTAACCATCCCATTCCCCCCCCCCTGCGCTCTACCCCCCCCCCCACAAAAAAAAAAAAAAAATCTAATTTGTGCAAGAAATGGCAGGCTTATTCTATCTGAAGGCTTCAAAAAAAAGATACACAACATGTAGCCAGGTTCAAATATTTTGGGGGAACCCCCCCAAAAAAAGAAATAACCAAAATAACCAAAAAGTGAAGAAAGTGCCTAAAACATGATACAGCATTTTAGAGCCCTTTCAGATACAAGGCAGAGAAAGGTGTAAAGTAGAAAATATCTGGATCTTCAGTAATTTCCAGAAAGGTCCAATCCCTCAGTTGGCTACAGAGCAGCAGGCAGATCCTTGCTGCGGCTGCTGCTGCTGCTGCTCCTGGGATAGAGCCACTAAGTCTGCTCCTCGGGACACAAACCCTCGGGCCCTGAGCTGAGTGCACCTCTCCCTTCCCCTTCTCTTTTCCTTCGCTCCATCTCCCACTCCACAAAGGTATCGAAGAGACTTGGCCAGGCCTCATCTTCACTGTAGTTGCTGAGGTCTGGGCCAATCACCTGAGTGAAGTTAAGGAACATGTTCCAAGTGTCCCGGGAGATGCCCTTGATCCCCGAGGGGTTCTCCGTTAGGAAGTTTAGCCATTGGTCCAATACTGGAGGATTGTTCTGGGTAAAGACTAGTTTCCACAGGGCAATGGCTATTTCCCGATGCAGTGACCGCTGCCCTTCTTCAGAGTCCAGGCCAAACTGAAATGTAAACCGGTAGAGATCCTTGAATTTATCCTCTTGTTTGGCTTCTGTTAAGAGGCTAGGGAACCGTGCACAGATCCCATCAATGCTGTCTGCACTTATTGCTTTGCAGCCATCAAAAAACTCCTTCCTGCAACAGGAAGGAAGGGGCACAATTAATAATTGTAAACACTATCATCTGCTGAGAGGCAATATAGCATAGTAATTAAGAGCATGGCTTTGAGTCTGGATGGCCTGGATTTGAATTCCAGCTCCTCCACTAATTAAATTAGTCCTATTTCTTCATCTGTCAAATGGTGAGATTACCACCTAACTTCTAGGGGTTTGGTGAGGACTAAACAAGTTAATACGTGTCAACTGCATCTAACAGTGCCTAGCACATGGTAGACAGCTAATAGTGGCTCATTCATTCACTTACTCATCTTTCCAAAGATGAAACTCAAGGCTCCTGCTCAATGCCCTATTTCCCATTTGGCAGAAGTAATTAAGCTGCAGACTCCCCTCCCAGACAGGAAGTCTTCCTGCTTTCCTTTTGATTCTCCATGGGTTGTTTGTTTTCGGAATATTTTTGGTGACTGCCAAGGGAGATTTTTGGAGTCAAAGATTCTGGATAAACCTAGGTAACTCTGCCACCAGAGGCCAAAGTTCTGTTATTAAAAAATGAAAACTGGGGCGCCTGGGTGGCTCAGTTGGTTAAGTGTCCAACTTCAGCTCAGGTCACAATCTTGCGGTTTGTGAGTTCGAGCCCCATGTTGGGCTCTGTTCTGACAGCTCGGAGGCTGGAGCCTGCTTTGGATTCTGTGTCTCCTTCTATCTCTGCCCCTCCCCAACTTGTGCTGTCTCTTTCTATCAAAAATAAAATAAATGTAAAAAAAAACAAAAAAAACAAAAAACTGTGGGGGTACCTGGGTGGCTCAGTCGGTTAAGTGTCCAACTTCGGCTCAGGTCATGATCTCATGGTTCAAGGGTTGGAGTCCCATGTCGGGCTCTGTGCTGACAGCTCAGAGCCTGGTGCCTGCTTTGGATTCTGTGTGTGTGTGTGTGTGTGTGTGTGTGTGTGTGTGTGTGTGCGCGCGCGCGCGCGTGCGTGTGCGTGCCCCTCCCCTGCTCATGCACACTCTCTCCCTCAAAAATAAACATTAAAAAAAAAAAAAACACGAAAACTGAATATGTATTTTTAATATCTATGTAGCATTTTTAGGTTCCAACAAGGTTTCTCACTGATCGTCTTCTCAGAGATTGCTGTATCAGCTAAAGATATAAGGCATCTAAAGTCTGTTGGGTAATCTACCCAGGGGCTGGAAAATGGGGGGTGGAGGTGGGGGGGGGGGTCTCAAAGTCACTTCTTATTTATAACCCAGTGCTCTGGAAACCACACCTTGAGGTGACCCTGCCCCTCTGTCCCCACAAACAACCTCTACAGGGACGCATGACCATGGAGATGTGCACAACTACTGCTTGGTCACGGGGGCCCGCTGTCCTTTTTGGTGCGCATGCTGGCTAAGGGGCATGTATGCAAAGCTAGAAGGGGCAACTGGCTTCACGCAGTGACAGAGGCAGACACCAAAGGTGCTCCCCAAACTGGCACTCACAGCGCCTGGCACAGGAGAGGTGCATGGTAAGTATCGAGTGAGTGAGGAAGTGAGGGAAACGACAAGTGAAGGAGTGAAAGAAGACATAAACGTCTGGGGCAGCAGTGGGGCTGGGCAGCAGAGCTCCGCGTGGGTTATTCCTCGCTTAACTTTAGGCAAAGCTGAATTGCTTTAGAGAAATCGGTCAGAAAAAGACAGACTTACCCAAAACCCTAAGAAGCCAACCCAGTTCTACCCCAGCTGGGCACTACTGCCCAGTAGAACATTCTCCCTCCTCTGCTCACCTGGTGACATTAAGTATTTGTGACTAACCTGGTGAATTTGCACATGGTAGCAGCCTGGAACTTCCAAGCCAAGAGCAGCACTCGAAATTCCGTGGGGTCAACACATAAGTCATTGCAAAAGCGCTCCATGCCTTCCTCCAAAATTGCATCCTCCCGCTCGTCCTTGTAACGCCTGAACAGTTCTTCCAACCTCTGCAGGGAAGACTCCTCGGCATTGGACTTGGGCTCCCTCCCAGCATCTCCAGAGGACGTTGGCAGCTGGCAGGGTTCGGTGACAGCCTCTGCCTTCTTGGTCCCATTGACAAGGATATCCCCACCTGGCTTGCCACAGGCTGGTGGCTGTTCCTCGCGGTGGCCTGCACCCCGCCTGCTGTGTGACTTGCTGCTGGGGTCACGGTCTCCATTCTTGCTGCCCAGGGTTGATGAGGGATTCTTGCACTTGGTGACGCACTGGCCCATGGTGCTGGTGGCCTGGCCTCTAGAGTGGCCCCCTCTGGATCAGATGCCCTCGCTGCCACTGGCCCATGTGCCTCAACATGCCATCAGCCAGAGGAGCTAGCCAACCTAGAAGAAAATCAGAGAACAGTTACCACTGGATAAGGAGACAGGAGTACAGGGACTGCGCCCCGGGGCCCCATTCTCTTTCATTGAGCCAACCATGAGAGACCCAGAGTTCATCACCACCTCCCCATAAGCTCTGTACCTTCACACTGGAAATGCAGGGCTGGGCACATATGGAGAATCAATAAGGAAAATTCCTAAAATTCTTAAGGTAACATAGGTTACAAAGAGGTTGATTCATGTGCAGAACACATCAGGGAAGACTGCAGTTTTGCCAGAAATATTCCAGAGGAAATCTGTCTTGCCAACTTGCCATCACATAAGAAAGTTGTTTGGTCCTGGATTCAGCCAGAAGGTGCAAATAAAAAGTTCATCTCCTAGTTTCTAATGTCAAAATCCTCAGATTTTCTTTTTAAGTAGGATGAGTAGGGAGAAAGGGTAGCCACATTTAAGAGTTTCATAATGGCCTGAAGATGAGGTAAAGGATTTGTGGAGTCAAGACTACAGTGTCCTAGCCAAATAGCTAAGTAAAATCTGTCTCTGATCTCTTCAAATTCCTCTCTGGGACTCTCTCACGCAGTAAGTGAAATGCCCTTTCTCCACCCTTCCTCTGCCCACCCACAGGAGCCAAACATCAAGCCTGTACTCCATGCCAAGGTTCCTGGTCTTCCAGTTTCTCTCTCTCCCCACTCAGGTCCTCCTCAAGGCTGTATGTAGAGTGCAAGCCAAGTCCACACTAAAATGGAAGGTCCTAGAAGACCTGCAAGCTCAGTCCTCCAAGAGGAGGTCTCCATCTTAAAAGAAGTGCTGATTTACCTCAATATAATCTCTAAATAGTGGGATAATTGCTAGCTAAAAAACAAGAGTGTGCGCTGATACAAACTCCTCATGGTGGTTTATTACTTACGTTATTTAAAAGTGTGTTTTGTGCGTTTTTAAAACATTGTTAGAAATTTCCTGGCCAGGGGTGAGGTGATTTCTCTGCAAACTGTGTCTTAACTAGTCCACAAGAAGATCCAGCCACAACTTAGTATCTGTAAAATACTACCACCTGCCATAGTAATTGCGGCCACCAAAGTTACAATGTTAACAGAACTTCAGACCAGGAGCCAGAAGTAGAGCAGGTAAAGTGGACCAAAATCCATGTCAGTCCCATGCCTGCTCCGCTCTAGGAAGCGTTCATGGACCTTTATGATCCAAATTCAAAGCTCTTAGGAGACAGGCAGTGGGGCAGAAGGGTGCTTTTCATGGAAGGTTGGAGCTTAAACTTTACCTAAAGAACTTTCCTCTCCTCCAAATAGTGCCTAGATACATTTGGGGCTATCTTCATAAGGAATTCTACAGGTAAATTCTGGATGTACAGGTTTAAAATGACCACCAGGATCACTCTTATAGTTATCGGGGACTCAACTGTATCAGGGTGTGTCCTATTCTCCACCCTCAAAGAGAATAAATTGACAGAAAGACATGCCCATACGTGCCCTCAAAAGACTTGCAGTTCCACTTAGGCTTCAAAAAAAACACTGAAAGGCTGAAGGGTTTTGGTGTGGGGAAAGATCCAATTAAGTTTCCTTAAGTCTTTCTGTGCCTTAATAGTACAGCAAATAAGCCATAAGAACAAGCTATTTAAAATTTTAAAAGGCAAGGGGTTAATTCTTGGAAGACCAGCATGCAAGGAAAGCAACTGTTGGAGCCGAATTATCTCAAAACAAGCAGGACTATACCATGTGGAGGGTCTGGTTTCCAGATTGGTGTTTCTAAAGACTACAGTGCTAAAAGAAACAAAAGGCCCAAACTCATACAAACCCCACATGCTCACAGACTGGCAGCTCTAATTCCCAGGCATGCTGACTCACCAGGGTTTGCTGCTCAGCTCCTGCTGCAGAGGGAGGCCCGGGTACCTGGCAGAGTAAGAGGATTTCCTGGCCTCTGTCTGACCCACCTACCCCAGGCCACTCACCCTCATCCCCACCCCCACGGGACAGATGCTTCCTTGTACCAGCTTCCTCCAAATCCTGGCGCCTAGGCCTTCAGGTAAGGACAGAACAGATGGGCCTCCCAAAGAGGCCCTAATCCCATTTACCCAAATGGCCCTCCACATAAGAGCATCTTTGATGACCTGACACAGCAGAACCTGAAGGCTTTTAACATGCCCAGCAGATAAGGAGGGGAAAATCAATGTAAACAGATGATCCATCAGCAAGTGCCAGAAGGTCAGATCTCTTTCTTCCATTCTGGTCCCCTTCTGTGAGATGCCCCCATTCCACAGGAGTGTAGAGGCAACTGATGACCTCAAGCCAGAGCACAATGTTTTCAGATCTGATGGGAAGTCCAGCCCCGATTATTCAATGGTCCCCCTTCTTTTGTATCTACCTCTTTCCTTGGGAAAACACTTAAGCTCTCAGAGATTTCTCGAGGCTGAGTCTCACAAGCCCTATGTCCCAGGCTGGCAGCACTTCAGATGTTTTAAAGTCATAAGTCTCCCTGGACTTGCTAGCTGTTGGCTAATAGCTAATAATAGCAGCTGTCAATTATTGAACACTTGATAGCATGCCTGGCACTACACTAAGCACTTTATGGACATTAAAACTCGTATATGCTCACCACAACCCCACTGAAAGATGGGGACACTGAGGCACAAGGTATATCATTCAACATCACATAAAGAGGACCTAGTATGTCTGGCTCGAGAAACCTAGCCTTTACCACTAGGCTGGGCGGCTGAGTCCACCTACATGAGAGCACCCAGGGAAAGCCCACCAATGGATGGGTCCTGAGCTCTGAAGTCACCACACTGATCTCAGAAGAGTAAGTTCTACCATCAGCCACTGGAAAGAGAATGACAAACTGTCCCTGCCCAGTGCTCAAGAAGGGTGTCCTACCCACTGCCCTCTCCCAGTGAGCCCTGCCACTGTGATCCAGGCAGTCAAGATTCCTTGGGCTCAGCCTCACCAGAGATGCCCTAAAGCAGTGATGTTTCAGTCCATCGACATGGTTCACAGCTCCAGGTTTGCAATCAAAGGCCAACTCTGCCAGTTATTATTGCTGATCCTGATTGAAACCTTTATTTCCTCAACCAGCAGAATAGTATCTGCCTCACAGAGCTGTTGTTAAGGATTCAGTCAGGTAATACAGACAAAGAGTACCTGCCACACGGTGCCCCACTCCCCAGAAAGAAATGATAGGACAGCTATCAGTCATTATTATTAACAGCAAAGTAATACCTGGTTACCTGATGAAAACCGCAGCTTGTCCCATCAGAAAAATGGGTGCCAGGCTTCAGCTTTTCCAGATCCAGCCAGGACGCCTACCCCTGCCTTGAGTCACATGTTTGGGTCTTGCTCAAGAATAGTCTCTTGAGAGGCACATGTGTGGCTCAGTCGGTTAGGTTAAACAGCACCTCCTGATTTCGACTCAGGTCATGATCTCACAGTTCAGGAGTATGAGACCTGCAGTGGGCTCTGTGCTGACAGTGACGAGCCTGCTTGGGATTCTCTCTCTCCCTTCTCTGGCCCTCTCCCGCTCGTGTTCTCTTGCTCTCTCAAAATAAATAAATAAACTTAAAAAAAAAAATTCTCTTAAACCACAGCACTGACCCTGCTCAAATGTACCACTGCCCAGAAACACCTGGAGGGTTGAGTTCTCCACAGGATAAGACTGCCTTGTGATTGACGCTGAATAAAATCAAGCTAGGTATCTGCTGTGCTCTACGGACACCACAAATCCAATGGTTACCCCCGACCCTAACCTGGGGCAAGCTTCCAGCCAGTTCCAGATTTCTTCCCCTTTCTACTTAGTCCCAGATCTGTAGGTTTAAAAAAGACAGGATTTCTGGCTTACTATTTATTTATACTAATTTAATGGAACTGCCTTTCCAGCTGGTCATCCCAGCCACCTCTGAAGTAGGCAGCCTCAGCACAATCTGGGCACCCTCAGAGGCAGATTTGATCAGCAACAAAGCACCACTGTGTATTTAGTAGGATATTATAATAGCTATAAATGTAGCTCTGTAAAATGGTTATCCCCATTTCATAGGAAAAGAAATGGAGGCATACCAAGGTCAAGGAGCTATTCCAGGAAGGGAAAAACAGGAGCAGAGTAACGAAGAGGATGAGCTCTTGGAGCAGACAAACCTGGATGTGAATTACAGTGATGGCACCAACTGTGACTGTCAGCATTAACTTTAAAATGGGGCAGCTGTACCCCAAGTTAGAGTAAATGAGATAATCCATAGATGTTCTGCCCACACAAAGTATTCAGTACATGTTAACCTTTATCGTAACTGCTGCTGTTATTGCAAAGACAGTGACAGAATCAAGCCTCCCTGCTCCTAGAACAGTGCTCTTTTCAGTGGCCAGTGCAGCTCTTATGGGGGTGGGGGCAGCTCAGATAAGCAGGACTCCCCAGGTACCCACAGCAGCAACCTGTTCTTGCAGGGATTCTGCTCTCCTGCTTTAGCTAAGAGGCATTAATGAGTTGAACAGAGCCAGGGATGAGGAGGGGCACGGAGAAAGCAAAGGCAGGAAGAAAAATGAAGAAAAAACAAACACACATACACACACACCCCTGGAAACCTACTTCTAGCACAATTATAATTTTGGGGTTTACCTGAAAGATTGATGCCAGTTATCTCTCAGCTCAGTTTATGCTGGACCACAATCAGCCTCCAGCTTTTCTCCTTCAATCTCGGCTCCAAATGATTCTGTCATCCTCCCTCTCTGCACATCAGCCCTAGTCTCCCCTCCCCCCCCTCACAGTACCAGCCCTGGCTGCTGTTCATGGGGATGGGCTTGGCTGCCTGCCTGGCCCCATGCCTGGAGCTGGCACTGCTGGCCAGGGGCGATCCCAGAGGCTGTGGTCCCTGTGGATGCTCTGGCTCCAAAGAGGGATCAGGAGCTGATCTATCCTGTAGGCAGTTTCGTGAAGAGAGATCAGGTAAGTCCCTGGGTCTTCTCAGGTTTACTATCTACCTGTTATGGAAGATAATGACCATGACGGGCTAAACCACAGAAGGACACAGGGTGACTGGAGACAGGAAAAGGAGAGAGGTGTGTGAATTAGTGTTACGGAAAGAAAGGTGGAGGGCTGACTAAGGGGAAGTGATGTGTGTGATGTGCACAGGGCTGCACGCTTCCTATGTATCATCCGCCTTTGACCTCACAGACACCTAGAGCTTGTCAGAGTTTTTACAGATGAGCAAACCGAGGTTTCTTAACTACTAAGCAGGGGAACTAGGAAATAAAACCAGCCTGTCAGACTCCAAAGTTCACCCTGTGGGAAAGTTTCAGAGAAGCGGGTCTTGTTTGGTCTTTAAATGACTGGAAACACCACATGGAAAGGAAAGAATCAAGAGTCAAAGGGTCAATCTGGTTGGTCCATGTGGAAAGGAGATTTAAAACATTTAGTAATAGTGGTATCTTTTAAATTACACATATGTACTGAGGGGATTCACGTTAACTGTCACATTTAACCCACTACAAACCATATGAGGAAGATACTACAATTCTTTTTACAGAGAAGAGAACTCAAGAGTTTAAGGGATTTGGCCTCCAGTCCCAGAGCCAGTCTACAAAGGAAAAGGGATTCAAATCCAGGCAGTCTGATTTCTACACTCTCCATTCTTCATCACTGGCCTCACTACTATTCTCTGCTATGACGTGTCCCAAAGATACACCTTTCTCCCATGGAGATGGGTACATTAGCAACACCTAAGTGTACCAGAGATACAGAGTAAACTCCCAGGAAGCCTTGGTTCTGGTTTGGTATCTCTAAGCAGTGTGGGACATTGAACAAGTCACTTAACCTCGCTGAGTCTGTGTGATCCCAACATTAAAATGAGGAGTTTAGACTAGTCCTTCCAAGTTTAATGTTCTGGGACCACCTTCACTTTTTGGCATGCAAAGAGGCTAACGATCAAAATTTGCAAGACTGCTTAATAAACAGTTCTCTCTTGCCCAAGCCTATCAGACCCAAGAGAAAATAAGACAAGAAGTCGTAAAAGAGGAGAGAAAGCGGGGGCTACTCCAGTCTGAATAAGGGGTGAAAGATTATACTATTTTTGCAGGTCTGCCTCTCTGTAGTCATCTTAGTTTGATCTCTTCAGGGTCAGCAATAGGCCCTGGCATATGGAAAACAGACCAGAGCGAGCTGGCTCATTGCTGCAGCTGGTTGGGTCAGGAAGGCTCACTCAGAGGAATGCTGTGTTGGCTGCTAATGGGGAGCCTGTCACCCAAGGAACAACCTTGTGAAATGAGGAGCTAAAACACAGGAGGCAAATGCTGGCACCAAAAATCAGTGTCAACAAGGCACTTGCAATCTACTTTGAGACTTCCTGGAGAGAAGGGACCAGTCTGATTTAACCATCCCATTCTGTTCCCATCTAGTGTCTATTCAGAAGCAAGAAACCACTGACAAATGCTGGTATTTCTATATAGTGACAATGAGAAACCCCTTTCCAACTTTCATCAGTCTGTGGAGCCAGCTGGGTGCATGTTTTTATGTCTTACTATATATGCCAGACACCCAAGGGCCAGAGAACATGATTTTCTCAGACAGCTTTTCTCCAACTGCCAGGGGCTAATGCGCTGTACTTGCAGAAACCATCCCCCCCTTGGGAGTCTCAAAGGAAGCCCACAAGAGCCTCTTGATCCCACCTGGCAGCTTCAGATGCTGAATGACCTGAGAAAAAGATAGGAAATGGGTGGTGGCCATTTGTAAACTACTTCCTAGAAAGTAAACTTGCAAAAATAACAAGGAGGTTAAGAGTGAAGGAGTACTTTAAATGCAGAGTCGCCTGCTGTCACTTGGAACTTGGGCCTTACAAGATCACCTTTGGAGATTAGGTCTTACCCAGAGCTACTCGGGAGGGAAAGCTGTTCCCTCTGCCAAAGCAAACGAGACCCGTCTGCTGCTATTTTCATGCTTTTAAAAGACTTTTTGTCCTAAAATGTACTACAGCAGCAAGCTAAGACAGCACTTCCAGTTAGGGTTGGATAGGAACACATGACTTTCTACATCAACAAATCTCAAAAGCGCAAATGAAAAGAAAAGGGCTTAAAGAAGGCGTGGGGGGGGGGGGGACTTAAAAAAAAAATAAACCAACTGGTTATATTTCTATAAAATAATCTTAGGTCACACGACTAAGACCAGCCAGCTTCCCACAGAGTAATTTTCTTTTTAAAGTGTTCTTACTGTTCCTTACCTTGCATACTTCAAATATACTAGAGTAAGAATATATATCCAACTAAGGCCAGAGGACTGAGGCCAGTATGGGCTGGCTAGAACAAATACCACTTGCCAAACGCAACCAAGCCAACACACGCATGTACTATAAAGTTTCCAAATACCAAATAATGAAGCATTTTTGGTCTCTGAGCTCCAGTAATGAGCTACATGTTTAATCCCATATGACTCAAAATAACCAAAAAAGGGCCATATCATTTTACTGACCCACACTTGGAATCTTTTTGCTGTCACTATTGATCAGGACAGACTACCCACTTATGTGCAAAGCGGGCATCATTAAGGGGCACCAGATTTCTAGGTTGACTACTCTGTTTCTGTACAAACGTTTTCAATTTCCTTCCTGGTTTAAGACCTGAGGGCTGTCTTGGATCTGTGCTCTGTGGCACTGTAGTAAAAATGGCGTGCCTGCTTGCACTCTTCATCTCTGGCTCTACGCTGCTTGTTTTCTTTCTTAGGACGCAGCAGCCTCATTAGGCCCTGCTGAAGGTAAACCAGTGATTAGGCACTAATTCCCAGCTTCCAGTTAGCATAGGGATACCAGCCACCCTAGAGGCTTACCTGATTGTGGCTGATTAGTCCTCAAACACCCAATTACCACATCACCTGTGCACTTTTCAGTCTCCTTCTGAGGAATTCAGTAGTCACAAATTGAAAATTAGTTAACTAGAGATCAGCTTTGTTTTTTGCCCCTAAGTAAAAGAAAGGCAAGAAAGGAAACTGAAATGAGTCAAAAGATGAGGAAGCAACCCAATATAAAGATGATAAATGACTGCATCCAAACGTCTAAAGGGGCACCAAAAGTACCACAAATGTATAGATGTGGTTTCTACAGCCACATTTCCTCTAAGAATGCCTCAGGTTCATCATGTGGTAACTAATCAATCTCTTAAATGTCTGCTAATTCTTTAAAAAAAAAAAAAATCCAAATCCATTAAGGCCACATTTATCAGTTTTTTCCTAGAGGCCCATGATGGAAGCTGACTGCTAATGCACAGCAGACGGGAAGAAGCAGAAGGAGAGAAGAGCTGTATAATAAAAGAATATCTGTTTTCAACCACATCAGTAAACTGGTCAGAGAAGTGAGGCCACTAAGGCTTTCTTTCCTGCTGCCAAATTCAAAAATATTACATAGTTAGTCTGTAAAGTTTAGAAAATAGAAGCATAAAGATAAAAAAAAAAAAGTCCCCTAGTATCCCACTACTTACAATTAATATCTGAGTATGTCTTTTCAGTCTTTTATATGAGCACATATGGATGGCACAAGTAAAATACATACATGTCCATATTATGCACATGGACTTTCCAATAAATGTGGGGTCATACCGTACATTCTATTTTGTAATCGTTTCCGTTGAACATTTTTTCATATAAATCTTGTGCTCTCATCCAACGCTTTTAAAGAGCAGCATTTCAATGGTAGTACTGGTATCACCACTAACACACTAGTTACGTTATGTAACCCAGAGACTATTTATAGCCTACTATTCATTCTGTCAAAAATTCGGTGCTGTACTGCAGAGGGTGTGCAAAAAAAAGGTTGAGAGGGGCACCTGGGTGGCCCAGTCAGATAAGCGTCCGACTTCGGCTCAGGTCATGATCTCACAGTTCATGGGTTTGAGTCCCATGTCAGGCTCTGTACTGACAATTCAGAGCCTGGAGCCTGCTTCATTTTCTGTGTTTCCCTCTCTCTCTGCCCCTCCCCACCTGTGCTGTGTCTCTCTCTCTCTCTCTCTCTCTCTCAAAAATAAATAAACATTAGGGGCGCATGGGTGGCGCAGTCGGTTAAGCGTCCGACTTCAGCCAGGTCACGATCTCGCGGTCTGGGAGTTCGAGCCCCGCATCGGGCTCTGGGCTGATGGCTCAGAGCCTGGAGCCTGTTTCCGATTCTGTGTCTCCCTCTCTCTCTGCTCTGTCTCTCTCTGTCCCAAAAATAAATAAACGTTGAAAAAAAAAAATTTAAAAAAAAATAAACATTAAAAATTTTTTAAAAAAAGATTGAGATTCTCTGTTGAAACATATTTAATATTCAGATAAGTCTTCCCCTGAATGGAGGTACCATAATAGGCTGATTTATGTCTCACTGTTGGACATTTAGCTTGCTTCCAATACTTCACTATTATAAATAATACTGTGATAATAAACAGAACAGGCAGTTAAAACTCAGCACATTTATAATTATTTCCTGAGAATAAATTCCTGTAAGTAGAACCAACAGATCAAAGGATTTGCAAACACACACACACACATATACAATTCCAATCTGAATTCCAAAGAATATCAACTTGTATAATGGCAATGTACTGGGAGTGTATTTCTCCCAACATTATCTCGTGATATTTGTCAACTAATTCAACCTCTTTTGAAAAATCCTTACCAAAAGCACATTAAGACATTATATTGAAGGGGAAATATCAAACCACCAAAGGAGAATGGAAACAGGTAAAGAAAGATCACTTGCTTCACTATAAATCACATCAAAAAGGCTGACAAATCCAAGGATTCTGGCTTCAAGGATTTCAAGACAGTGTTGTTAAATGATGCGGAATGGGGGACAGAAAAAGATTACTCATAAGGACACCTTTTAATTCTATCTAAATTGACACCCACTTGTCTGCTTCCCCAGTACCTAGGCTCTGCATCAGGTGATTACCTAGTTTTCACTAGAAGAGCCTTCTCTTGAACTCTTGGCCACATAGTTCAGGGGCTAAGAGTTCACCCAAGAGTTGGGTGGGGTTCATAATGGACTATGTGACTCAGGCCCACCAGAGCCTCACATGCCCTTGGCTTCAACTGACTGGGTTAGGGTTATGCAAGAGACCTAAGCAGACAGTGAATCTTAGCACTGCAAGTATGGGAAGTTGGAGCTGCTGTAGTCATCTTGAAAGAGCCACCAGAGAAAATAATAATGCCTATCAAAGAGTCACTGTGAAGATTAAATGGTCCCTTCTTATCAAATGGGTCTCAACTTAAATGTATATAAGACTCAAGAATAAAATCACTGCCAAGAGACAAGGATAAAATGAGTTTTTAAGGCATTATCTGTACCCAGAATCCAACTGTACTACCTAAAGTCAGATCAAAGCCTGAACTCCAGTTATGTGAGCCAATAAATTCTTTTGCATAAACCGGGTATCAGGTTTACTGTCACAACAGAAAGAGTCCCTACCAACACACTGCTATGTCACTCCAAAGAAAGAAGGTCTGATGCCTAGGCTCTCTGATTCATCATCTAGAACCAATTTACTAGGCCACAATTTCAACCCAATACATCAAAGGAATCCATTAGCTGAACACCAGGACCAATAATCCCAAACTCAAGCAAACTATAAAATTCTATTACAAGTGGGTGGGCCACTAGGATGCCATTTAAAAGTTGATGTTACTAATGAGCAAAAGAACCTTTCCAACTGCAATTTTTATCACCTTTGGCCTCCTTCAAGCAGACAGGCCACAGAGCACTTAACAGCTGCTTTATTCTGTTGTGTACACTTTCTGTCATCTTCATGTTCCCAAGGAGGAACCTCCTCCCAGCACTCAGACACCACGTGTAAAGGTGTAAAGCAAGAGCTCCTGGAAGTCTTCCTCTGTATAGTAACAACATGATTAATCTTCTAGCTGAAATAGGTATCTCATCTAAACCACATCCTATGAAACTGAAAGACCAGATCTGACCAGAATTTGACTGCCCTCTTGGTTTCAGTTACTATTGCTGAAACCATTTCTCTTTGGTTTCAAGCACTGAAGAGCCTATTTAGAAAGTATTCCGGTTTTTTGACATCGAGCCCCATGTTGGGCTCCATGCTAGACTGGAGCCTGTTGAAGATTCTCTCTCCAGGGGCACCTGGGTGGCTCATTCAGTTAAGCGTCCAACTCCTGATTTCAGCTCAGGTCTTGATCTCACAGTTAGTGAGTTTGAGCCCCGCATGGGGCTCTGCACTGATAGTATGGAGCCTGCTTGGGATTCTCTTAATGGATAAAATAAACTTAAAAAAAAAAAAAAAAAAAAAGATTCAGGGTGCCTGGGTGGCTCAGTCAGTTGGCATCTGACTTCAGCTCAGGTCATGATCTCACAATTCTTGAGTTCAAGCCCCATGTCGGGCTCTGTGCTAACAGCTCAGGGCCTGGAGCCTGCTTCGGATTCTGTGTCCCCCTCTCTCTCTGCCCCTCTGCCACTCCCGCTCTGTCTCTCTCAATAATAAATAAACATTAAAAAAAAATTATCTCTCTCCCTCTCTGCCCTTCCCCCGCTCATTCACACGTGCACCCATTCTCTCTCCCTCTTGAAAGACAGCAAGACAGAAAGCAAGAAAGAATTCAGGTTTTAAAAACTGTGACAGTAAATGCTCATTTTTGTGTGTCTTTATTGGAAATCCATTCCCTGCAGGTTGAAACTTGAGGTCCCAAGGTTTGGGCTTTTTTTTCCCCCCAGTTATTTATTTCACAGATGCGTACTCACATGGCATGAAGCCAAAGTATTCATTAACACTTGTAAAGATAAGCAGATAATTAAATCAAAATAGACCCCTATACCTGATGGCTGGGATCACAGTATTAGAGACTTGGTAAAAGACACATCTGATGATTCCAGCCCAGTTCTTGCCCACTTCCCGCCCATATTGACCTGCCAAAATTGCTGCCACCAAATGGTCACTGCAAAGCTATCAAAACTCTGCCCTAACAGCTAGGCCCTATTTTCATAAAACCGATTATGAGGAAA